TTTTTTTTTTTTTTTTTTTCCTGAAACAGAGAAAAGAAAGAACAAAGGAAAGAAGAGGAGAGAAAAAGGGTAAAAACAGAGAGTTTTGATCAAAATGAACATTGGGTTCTTAGCGATCGTTGTTTAAGAATTCCATTATACAAAGCAACACGATTTGCAGGAATTTCGTTTCTACAGCAGCTGCTACTTGTTCTTCTTTCCGCCATAGCCACTCTCTCATCGTGCTCTCTTCTGTACTCTTCTCCATTCCCTTTTGGCTCCTTCACATCCTCTGCAAATCTCACCTTCTTCTTCTTCTTCTTCTTCTTCTTCTTATTTTTCTCGTCTAAACACAAAAACATCAAAAACCCACCAAAATTTCACCCCCAAATCTTCAAAACAACACTAAAAACACAAACTTTACAAAAACCCATCAAATTTTAAGTTAATTCAACATAAAAAAACCCACCAAGATTTCAGCTTTCTAATGTTCAAAACATGATTGAAGAAAAGGGAAGGAATTTACCAGAGGAAAAGCAGGAAGAAAGAAGTGATTTGGAAGGGAGTGGATTGATCTTGTGGTGCTTGGAGAAGGCAAGGAAGAGAGCGGTGGAGGAGACAACCATGGCGGTGGCAATGACGAGACCTTGAGAGGTGAGAATGGAAGACATGGGTGGCGGAAGGTGTTTATTTTGGGTATTCTTTTGAAAATGGATGGTGGAATTTAGTTGGCAAGTGGGGGAGATGAAGATGGAGTTTTTAAATGCATGCGTCCTCTCTCTACACTTGTCTATAAACAAGTAAGATTCTAACACACAAGTCACGACTCTCTACAATAAGATGATATCATTCACCTTGTTTATAAACTCTTATGACTTTGTCTCGTCCCGTGAAATTATATTAATATTAAGAAATTTAATTAAAAATTATAGATGTATTAAAATAATAATGAGAAGTGTGAGTGATGGTGATGGGGCAATGCGTGGCAGAGAAAGGCGGTGGGAGCGTTGAGGTAAGCATGAAGATTGAAGCAGTCAACTTTCATTCAACCCCCCCCCCACAAAAAGAAGACTTCTCAGAAAACGGTCAAACTCAGGTGGGACCCACTCTCGATAATTTCTCTTCATTTTAAACTCTGCTACCAACTCCCACCTGACACGTGGCATGCATTACTTTTCTTTTTTCTTACCCTTATTTTTTTTATATTTATTCTCATATCTTTTAAATCATTTTATTTTTATGGAAATTGGTCAAATAATAGATTTAATAATAATAGATTTATTGGAAGGATATAAAAATTACTCACAAAATGTTATTTTAGCCTGAATTTCTTTTGGTGACTAACTTTGGAATTTATTGGATTTTGAGGGACTAAATAGAAATTCATTAAAGATGAGGGGCAGAATTAGAAACTTAGGATAATTGATTTATTTTATGTGAAAGAGCGACAAGAGAAGAGATGCATGATTCACAGTTGGTGGAGGCAACAACCACAGATGTCGGCAAGCAATATTGGACAACATGTCGTAACAGTAGTGGGCCAACTGGACAATGCAAGTATCTAAATTTTCCACTTCTTTCCGACGTGTCGTCTTCCATACTCTGCCAAGTTTCCACCATTTCCATTGGCCCACGTGTAAACTTATTTTGATAATTGTCAATTTCGTAATTAATTTTTTAAATCCTCAAAATTATCCTCAAACTTATTACGTTATTTCAATTTTCAAAAGTTTTTTTTATAAACTAATTTCAACTATTTATATGTTCATGAAAAAATTTCATTCAAAATTAAGGTAAATATAGCTTAATAAAACTGAGTTTTTTTTTTTTATTAATGAGACTAATTAATCGAATTAACACATTAGATAATGTATTTTGCAATTGATTTTGGAGACTTGAGAAAATAGAGAGCGGAAAACAGTTTTCGTGATAGAATTCACTCATTCTCATGAAGCAGGGGTGTACATTCAACCCGACAACTCAACAACTGGACCAACCCAACCCGAGTCAAATAAAAATATATAAAATACGTTAAGAAGTTTCGTTCCTCAAATAAAAATATATAAGATTCGAATATCATCTACCCTAACAGGTTGTAACAGCCCATGCCTACCGCTACCGGATCTCACAATTTCACCCCCTTGCAAAAAAAATGTTTCATTTCTCTTTCCAACTGATACGCGATCTCACAATTTCACCCCTTGCGACCCAACATCCTCGCTGATACACCATCAGTGGCTGGCTCTGATACCACTTGTAACAACTTAAGTCCATCACTACCCGATATTATTCTTTTTAGGCTTTCCCTTCTGAGCTTCCCCACAAGGTTTTAAACCGCATATAGAGAAGTTTCTACACCTTTATAACAAATGTTTTGTTCCCATCTCCAACAGATGTGGAATCTCTCACAGGTGATGATTGCATTAACGTTGGTATCAACTTGAAAGTTCTCGTAAACATAGGACGATAACCAAAGTTCTAAAAGTAAAAACCAACAATAATTGTACGTTCCATGTTTCGAATTCAATAAAATTCAACGTTTAAATTTAAAAACTAAACGACTTTCTATAATACCCTACAAAATCTTAGAATCGCCACAATCCAATCATTCAATTCTCAGCTATATTTTACATTTATTACCCATATGGCCAAATATATTTTCATCATTATACAATAAACAAAAGGCCAAGCACAATTTATAACTCAAACATGAAACCCATTGAATACAAAAAGGAGAGAATTTGAGGCACTAAAACAAAAGATTGCCTAAAAGATGTGATTTTTAATTTTGCTCAACACGCATGAAATGGCAAAAAATTTACAACAATTCTCTAAACTCTTATTAAATATGAACACAATCCAACTAATACACCTTATTATCAAATCATCAGCCACTATTATGATTATAAAATGAAGCATGGATTCTAATTTCAAGAACATGTGCTTGAATTTCGCCACAATGATTAAGAAATTGCTGGTAATTTCTCATGAAACCCAACTTCTTAAGGCTTATTTACAACTTGAAATTGATATTTTTAGTTGCAGATAGGTTTTTTGGTGGTGTTAGTACTCGTGATTTGCTTGATATTTGGATTAAAAACTCTTCACCATCATCCACAAGGCAATAATGATCCAAAAGGCAACGATGGTAGTCCTAATGTAGAGTATAAGAGCATCGATGTGGTTCATTATGGGGCAGCTGGGGATGGAAAAACAGATGATTCACAAGTAAATATACTCACTCAAACCCTCAAATTATGCATCTAAAGCTATTGTTTTCTAATATGATTCATTGTTTAAAGGCATTTTTGAAGGCTTGGATGGCTGTTTGTAAGGCTGCAACGCCCTCAGCTATGTTGGTGCCATCTTCCAAGACATTCTTGTTGAATCCAGTGAAGTTTGAAGGCCCATGCATGTCCTCCAATGTCGGGGTTAAAGTAATTAGCCTTTTCCTAGCTTTGCTTTACGTTATGTTCATATGGTTATTATGGTAACTTACTTGGGATGTGCAGATCCTTGGAAAGGTTGTGCCTCCAAGTGATGTTGATGATTGGAAAGAGTTTAAGGTGAAGAATTGGTTGTGGTTTGCCAATGTGAGCGGTCTTGATATACATGGGAATGGCCAAATTGATGGGCAGGGAGCTGGTTGGTGGAATCGAAAATCAAATGGACGACCCACGGTTCGTTACGATCGTCGTACCAATTGTTACTTACGTTTATGTGGGAGTGTTTCAATTGAATATGTATTGTCATTACAGGCATTGGCTGTTTACGATTGTGAGAATCTTCGTCTTTCTGGATTAACGCATATTAATAGTCCTAAAAGTCATATGCATATTGTTCGTTGCAATCATGCTTCCATCTCTCAATTGAACATCTTAGCACCCGAGGATAGTCCCAATACTGATGGTATTGATGTTGCCTATTCAACCGAGGTTAAGATTCAGAATTGCAGTATTGCAACAGGTAGTGCAATCCCAGTAATATATTAACTCAGTTTGGTTTGTTGAGGATTCTCGGGAGGGAGTCCCATGTTGGCTGATCTCCATTGGTATGAGGCTTTTGGAGAAACCAAAAGCAAAGCCACGAGAGCTTATGCTCAAAATGAACAATATCATACTGTTGTGGAGAGTCGTGATTCCGAAACTGATTTTTCAACTGTATCTACTGCTATAACAGGTGATGATTGTATTGCTATTAGTGAAGGCTCTTCCAATATCCACATAGCAAACATCGAGTGTGGACCTGGTCATGGCATAAGGTTTAATCACTTAAAAACTACTAAATGTTACTTGATTCTCGAGGAAACGTGTTGCTTAAAAAAGCTATTTGTTTCAGTATTGGTAGCTTGGGAGAAGACGGGGCGACATCCGCCGTAGAAGAAGTGAGAGTTCAAGATTGTCATCTGAAAGGAACTATGTATGGAGCAAGGATCAAAACATGGCAGGTTAATACTAAATCTTGATTTGATGATGTCTTAAAACACGAAGAATTGTGTTCATGTCTCTTCTTCAATACAGGGAGGATCAGGATACGCAAGAAAGATATCGTTTCGAGGAATCACACTCGATCAAGTTCGCAACCCAATCATAATCAACCAGTATTACTGCAACGGAAAAAAAGACTGCAAAAACGAGGTAGATTTAAGAAACATTGCCTATAATTTAGATATACAAAAGGTAAACTAACATACGAGGAAAATGTTGCAGACATCAGCTGTAGAAGTGAGTGATGTGTTGTACCAAGGATTGCGTGGAACATCTGCAACGAAGGTGGCAGTGAAATTGAGTTGCAGTGAGAGTATAGGCTGCAAGAACCTTGCATTTGAAGATATCGATATCAAATCTACAGATTCTGATAAAACCACTCAGTCCTCATGTTCTAATGCCCATGGAACATCAACAAATACCGTTCCTACTATCGATTGTTTGTTACCATAGATAAGTTCTTGATAGAATGAGTTCATAGTGATTTAAATAAACAACTCATACACATATTCTAATTTTTATCGTCTATTAAATTTTTACACCAATTTTTTCAACAACAAACGAAGACAGAACACTTCATGTTCAAGTATCGAGTCTCACGGAATCACAACTAGGAATTGCCAAGTAATACAATCTTGGATCATCGAGAGACTTCTAAATCAATCATAACATACTCGTTTGAATGGTAAATAAATAAGTTTTGTCCATATATTATTTGTAACTCGATTAAATGATATTGAAATAAAGAAGTTCCTCGATATTTTCGAAAAATACAAAAATATTTTTATTATTTTTTTATGACACGATGACTTGAACAGTTTAGACTATCCAACCTAAACGTAATTTTTCTTCGAGAATAGGATTGGGTTTACTTAGATTTTTTTTCGGTTTAGGTGGTAAGATGAACTCGACCAACTCAAAAAAAATAGAGGGTTAAGTTGAGTTGGATTGTGAACCGGATCAATTAAGTTTAATTTGAAAGTGTAATTAGGGTAAATATTGATATCCGCCTGTTTGAGCAGCGCATAGAGCTTATGGTGGACCTTCATCGCTACAATTATGAGTTCAAAAACAATGGCAATTTGCGAGCCGAAACCTAAACCCCCGAAACCCTACCAGAAAATAACAAATATTACCCTGTAAAATTTCTGACCTTTCCCCCGCGTGGATCCCTTACAGCAGTCCTTCGCCTCTTCAAACACCAATCTCAATTCGTTGCACGGCGGGTTTTTCTCTGAATCGCCCCCTTTTGTTTTCTTTCTGAACAAATCTTATTGTTTTTCTTTTAGTCTTTGTGTTATTGCATCATTGTTCTTCAGATTCTCGCTGGTTATGCACGGATTAGTGTTCTTAGAGTTTAATTTGTTGGATTTGGATTCTGGGTGTGGTAGAATTTCTGGAAATCACTGCTACTACTTGGTTTTCCAGTTTGTTATTGGGGGCAGTGGCTATTTTCTCAAGAATATGATTTAGATCTTGATTTTGGGTAGATTTCTTTTTCCTGAGGAGACGCCTAGAACATGCTCTCGCTGCGACCTATTCGCAGATTCTGCCATGCTGCTACCATCATTGTATCTTCAGAGACCCCTGCGGCTGTGTTGAATCACGTTCAGAACTCGAAGCCCGTCGAGGAGCCTGCCCTTATAAAGCTTAAAGCAGAACGGGACCCTGAGAAGCTGTTCCATCTGTTTAAAGCCAATGCGCACAATCGGCTTGTGATTGAGAATCGATTTGCTTTTGAAGACACTGTGTCTCGACTGGCTGGAGCTCGTCGCTTTGATTACATTGAGCATTTACTTGAGCATCAGAAGACTCTTCCACAGGGGCGCCGTGAAGGATTCATTATAAGGATTATAGTGCTATATGGTAAGGCTGAGATGATCAAGCATGCTGTTGACACTTTTTATAATATGCACTTATATGGATGCAGTAGGACTGTTAAGTCGTTTAACGCGGTGCTTAAGGTTTTGATGAAGGCCCGTGATTTAGGAGCTCTCGAGGCATTTTTGAGAGAAGCTCCAGAAAAATTCAATATTGAGTTGGATATAATTTCTGTTAACATTGTTGTTAAGGCTTTTTGTGACATGGGTATTTTAAATAGAGCTTATCTTTTCATATTAGAAATGGAGAAGGTGGGAATAAGACCAGATGTGGTTACCTATACGACGTTAATTTCGGCATTGTACAAGCATAATCAATGTGAAATTAGTAATGGTCTGTGGAATCTAATGGTTTTGAGGGGTTGTTTGCCCAATCTTGCTTCTTTCAATGTGAGAATTCAATATTTGGTTGACAGGAGACGAGCATGGGATGCTAATAAATTGATGAATGTGATGAGGAACATTGGGATTGTACCTGATGAGGTTACTTACAATCTGGTAATAAAAGGTTTTTGTCAAGCCGGGTTTCTTGATATGGCGAAAAGGGTTTATTCTGCTTTACATGGGAGTGGATATAAACCAAATGTCAAAATTTATCAAACCATGATTCATTACCTATGCAGAAGTGGGGATTTCAACATGGCATATACAATGTGCAAAGATGCCATGACCAAGAATTGGTTTCCAAACATTGATACAATTCATTCATTACTTAAAGGCCTCAACAAGATGGGGCAGCCTGGTAAGGCTCAGTTGATCCTATCATTGGCAAGGAAAAGGGTGCCTCCTTTCTCTACAACTCAGTTGGAAGCTTTGAATACCATAATGGCCAATGGCTGAAAAGAGATCTGTAGACTGGTGCTAGATGAATGTAGCAGAAAGCTCAAAAGGAGCTCATGTTCTTTCTTTACTTCCATTTGTAAATTACAAAGTTAATTGGACACTGATTTTTTATGGGGTTACATCTTCAAAAAGTTTCTCATTTTCTCAGTAATTTGTTCTACCATCTCAATAAAGTATATGTCTCAAGATGAGAGTTCTGAATGGACCAGCTGATGTTCTCTGTGAGTTACTGTGCAAATCTCTCTCTCTAGTCTACACATACTTAGGCGAAACAAATGCTTTCCCATGTACACAGTATGCTATCCTCGATTCAATTTGTAATGTTACCAACTGTTTGTACACGTAGTTTTACATGTGCTCTTATTCAATATCGTATTTTTGAAATCAACTTAATTTTCAATATTTACACCTAGATTCATTTGTAGAGCTTCTGTTATGCTTGGATTACAGCAAAAAAAATCTCATAAAAGTGACATCTGACGTTATAGTTTTGTTGATGAAGTGCAATCTTCCTGTGGATTTTATCAATGTTTTATTGGGATATCATTCAGCATGTGTTATTTGTTATAGCTTTATTCTTGTCAGATGGTGCATTCTTTGTTCTTATCCTGTTTATGATATCACAGAGATGTCGCAACTGTGTTATAACTTTCTACATTCGAATCATCTTTTGTCATTCCAGCATCGGTGCTTTCAAACGCAATGGCAATAGGAATAAGGGCAAAATCTTTCCTGTTGGATATTTTTGAATGCTGCGTAGGTAATTTCAAATTTTCTGTCATCATTTCTGAATATGATTTCCAAGCATATTTATCGATAACCATTCATTAGGTAGAATTAAAACATCACTCAGAAGTCATTAGATTAGATTTTGTTACCTATTCAGATATAGCTGCTGAATTCTTGTAGTTTGAAGCATTTGTGCTTATCTTCCTCTTACCATTGCTTGAATTCATGCTCTGTTGGATAATCAGGGTAACTTGACACTCACACGAGAGTTTTATTATGATACTTCTATCTAGTATATGGACAAGAAACTTAATCTGAAAAAAGCTAAGGATAAAAGTAGATGGTTAGAGATAATGTGAAATACATGTATATGCACTGCGTCTCCGCTGTTATGTTGATTATAAATCTGGTGCCCTTTTACCTCTAGAAAGCCAATGGCAGATTAATGATTTCTGAAGCTCCCTGTGTGTCCAAATCCATCGTCTTCCGCCATTCGGATTAGTTGGAGAGAGTAGAATAAAAATTGCATGATGCAACTTACAGATGGTAGCATGTCGGTGCACTTTTCCTTTCGATGAGCTATCACTAATGTCCATGGACACTAGGGGAGGTTCATTCTCTCTAATGTGTTGGTTGGACGAGGTTTCTTCAGGTGAGGCTGTATTCGAGTATTCGAACAATGAACTTGATTCCACCTCTTATTTTTCCTTGATCAAGTTATGTTACTGGCAGAAGTTCATGAGCTAATATTTGATGCAAAACTCAGGAGGCGAAAACTTTTAGTTAGCGTGCATCTCGACTGGTGGTTAGTTGATCTCTTGAGTGTTGACTTAAATGGAGATGAAGAACATGCAGGAGCAGTGGCTGTCTGTGCTTTAACTTGAATGCTTGTTAGATCCTTTGTTTTTCTTTCAAATGAGATCTTTTATTGGGCATCTGTGTTTCTGTTGCCATGGATTCTGTTCTTGTCTCTGCATTTTCCTGTGTATTTTCCTGTCATTAGGTAAGGGGAAATGCAGACTACAGCAGGAGTGTGCCATATTTTGGGTAACCGTCTGATGTAATTCTTTTGATCTGAATCTTTTGTTGATGATAATAGAAAAATGAGATAATAAAGATAGTGTTGTAAGGCTATTGTTCATATCTGATTTATTCCTTTTCTATATGTTCTATATGTTCTTAACATTATTTACAGTTAGTGAAAACTATTTCCACAAACTAACCCAAATCATTTTAGCATATTGTGTTCTCACTCTCGTGCATCTTAGGAAAATTCCCAAGAGGTCACCCAACGTAAAATTACTTGAAGCAAAACACATTCGACCATGGAGTTCCTATGATTAAGTAGTCATCCTATCCTCAGGATCGTTCTCATTTGGATATGGTCTCGTCGGTTTATCCATCTACCCCTTATTTACTTGAGTGTCACATGCTCACCAACTTTCGCGTTGATTTGTCCCCAAACTACATCTTCCTTGGAGAAGTATCATTTTGATACCATTTGTAACGACCCATGCTCAGGATTTGAATCAAAATTCAGAATTGGGATTGACACCTAATGTCCTTGACATTCCCTGAATACTATCCTCACGTACCAACACAAATCTTCTAAGCATGCTTTGTTCTCACTCACATCCATCCTAGTAAAATTTCTAAAAGGTCACCAAACATAGAATTGCTTCAAGCAAGCATGCTTTGTTCTCACTCACATCCATCCTAGTAAAATTTCTAAAAGGTCACCAAACATAGAATTGCTTCAAGCAAAATACGTTTAACCATTGACTATGGAGTTCTTTTAAGCTCTTCTTAGTCATCTTTAGAATTACTCTCATTCGGACGTAGCCTTTAGATATCTTCTCGTAGGGATACAATGCCTTGATGAAATGCATTGATAGAGTGAGGTACTTTCTCCACCCTGATTGATGGAACGCCGCATTGAATATGTTTGAACCAATGTTATCACCTACTCATCTTTGATCAATGGATATTGGCACAACGGACAAATTAAGATGCCTCATCAACTTTTTAATACCCTCTTAATCTCTCTTTCATTTCTCCATTTCTAAAATTTTCCCCTCTTTTTATTTTCTTTTTTCTCTTTTTCAATATCAAAACTATAAATAAATAAATAATAAACTGTTATCTTAAATTGAAAAAAAATCAATTTGAAAATATGTTTATATATCGATTTTAATGTAATAACTGAGCTGACATCTTACCCATTATCTCTTCGGGATCATCAAAATACCATTATCAATTAATAATCTTAATGTATACATTAGTTTTTTTTTTTTTTTATAAAAATGATTGAACTAGGGATTAAGAACAATTGAATGAATTATTCATGGACAATTATTTAAAGAATTAAGATGTAGAAGGCAAATTGGAGGAAGTTTTAATTTTAATAATTTTTACATTAAGATTTAATCAAACACAAAATACATAATTACTTCTATATAATTTATACACAAATCCTAATTTTATCTATTAGCAATCCCACTCGCCGGAGAATTTTCTGAACCTACACCGATCTACGCTTACCGGTTTTCGTCCACCGACTCTTCTTCGCCGGTTTCCCAAAAGCGCTGCAGAATCCACAAACCGACACCTTCGGCGACGGCGGCTCGATCGCCGGCGGTACCTTCCCCGTCCTGTACCCACGCCCACCGTTGGATCGGCTTCTCTCCATCGTAGTATTAATCGGCTCCACCGTCACTGCCGCCGAATTCTCCTCCCCCGATGCGGCGGCCGTTTGCTTCAACTCCCCGGACAAAAATCGGTCGTCCCACACCAGTCCCGACGAGCCTTGCCGCCGGAAAGAAATCTCAGATCTCTGCAATCCCTCCATAGCTAAATCCTTTTTTTCTTTTTTTTCCCCCAAATTTACAGAGAAATTTGCTCTGTTTCTCTATCATATATAGAAGAGAGAGAAAGAGAGCTGAGGAAAAATAATTTAATTAATAGAGAAATTAAAATGTCACATAATGCAACAACTTTTTATTTTTTTCCGTTATCATAACATAAAAATAATATAAATTATTATCCTAACTAAAATATTTATTTATTAATTAAATTACTTTTTGCATTTATATCTATATATATATATATATATATTTTAATCTCGTTTAAATTTAATTTATTTTAATTCTTTAAAAATAAAAAAGATTCAATAGTTATTAAAGGAAATTATTTCTAAAATTAAGAATAAAAGAAAAGAAAATTCTAAATGGGTCCTACATTTTGTTGGAGATAGGAATGACACAAACTACGCGTACATTTAACACGAATTTAATTAAAAAATATATTTATTTATTTATTTATTTATGGAAAAGTCAAAGAAATAAATTAATTTAAGTGGGTATAAAATAAAATAAATAATAAATAAAGTGTTGAAATTGAAGAGAATTGAATGGTATAATAAATGAGGAATGGGTTTAATTTTTCAAAAATGGCAACTCATATTGTGAGTTGTGTACACATGGAAGTCAAGAGGCATGCAAAATTATTAATTATTAATTATTTTTTGGTCCACATTTCTTAGGGGACAAAAAAAATCATAATTATTTGGGTAAGAAATTTTGGTTGAGCTACCATTGATTATACAATTTGACTATGTAGTATTGGGTTATGTAATGTTCTAACCACCATAATGTATATAAACTAACGAACGAATCGTCGGTAGATATTGTCTACTTTGACTTATTACACATCGCAGTCAGCTTCACAGTTTTAAAAAGTGTCTACACCCCCTTATATGGAATGTTTTGTTCCCCTCTCCAACCAATTTAAGATCTCACAATCTATTCCCCTTGGATCCTAGTGCATTCGCTGACATACCACTCAATGATTAGCTCTGATATTAACTGTAACGACCCTATTTTTCTATTGAAATAGAGTCTCACTCACCATATGCATGACATGACATTTTTATGTAGAAACATTGATTTTAAATGGTACATAAACGATGTCATGAATTTACACGTTAAAAATAAAATTATTCAATCCTAATATAATGCAAGACTAACGAATAATATGAAATGTAACTGCCCTAACTTAGATTTTATGGTCTTCAAGCGTCACTTTAGTCATCCGTACATGGGTACTATGTCTTTATCTAAGATGTAAGAGTAGCTCATGATTTGAATATTTTAAGAAATATTCAGTAAATAACCTCGTGGTTAGGGTGGGGTAATGCAAACACACACATACATGATAGTCCTATACTTTAAAACATAGCATGACCTTGAGCTCTTTTAAGTTCCGGACATGGTTAGATGTGTGGTACTTCCTCACACACGGCCCACACACGCGCACATTGACCCACTAAACGAACTTGTATACATATTCTCTAGGCTTGATTTGGTCGAGCTAAATGGTCACGTATTAGAAATTTTTGACAAATATTGAATTAGAGAAGGGCATTGGATTCATTGCAACTCATAGCAATTGGATCTTGTAATTTGGTAGCTACTCGGTTTGTCCTTTTTCACTCTAATTGCCTCTTTCTTCTGCTTAATCTCTGAATTCTCTCTCTCCCGCTGGCCATTATTTAAGTTCCCCTGATCTTCATTTTTAATTCTCGCCGAATTTTCTTAATCTGCGCCGATTTGTTCTCCTAGGATTCTCTTCCCTTGGAATAAACCGATCATTACTTAATGGGTTATTGCAATTGCTTTTGTTATGTTCGCCGTTGTAGAGGTTTTGTTTGAATGATTTATGCATATTTCGATCTTTGATTTATAATAATGTTTCAATTCTGTGCTCTTCCCCCTCCACTCAGATGCTGTTAAAATAATGCTTCCTTTGGCATTTTCCGCGCTGGATAGCATGCCTTAACTTGATCTGAGATTGAACCCTAGGTTTTTTTTTTCTTATGGCAATTGACTATGGTGTGAGGATAGGTTCCATTTGTAGCTTCATATTCTTGGTGACAGTTCTAGATGCTGCTGAAAATTTTTGAAGTGTTTTGAAGAAATTATTGCTTGGATGGTTCTGTGTACAATACCGAACATAGTTGCTTTTGGTCTTCTGAAAATATTTCTTTCAGAGCTTTTCACAAGCCATTCCAGTTCGTGGGAAAGTCATCGACTGATTCTACTTATTTAGAATAAAAAGGTATACATACTTGACATGATACTGTGTTATAAAATAGATTGGTTGGTGATTTTGCCATTTTTACAACATCAATTTCTTCAAGTTTCTGTGGATTCTGACCTTCTCCTCATGGGCCATTCCTGATGATATAGCTCCAAATTGTACTCTGATTCTATCATAATGCTTTCAAGTTAGTTATCCATCCTTTCAGGAACTCTTACTTCTATGATATTGTAGGTGAACTGTAATTGACCCTTTATTCCTTCATTAATGGAAGTTGGTCCATCATTTCGTACATGATAATCAAAGTAGTTATGCTGTTCTTATTGTTAGGATTGAAAAACTCACATTCAATTTGAGTAAGATGCAAAAGGAGCAAGGCTTGGTTGAAGAAGCAGTCCTTTTATTGGCAAGTTATCAACTCTTTTGCTTCTAATTGAAGAACATCCATTGATCCAATTCCATTCCCATTTGTTCTGCTCTTTTCTCTCTCTCCAAATTACCATTCCACTTCCAAGCTCCTTGTACAAGCACATAACCTCATTGTTTGCTACGCACTTGGTGTTTATCCATCTTCCATTGCTTCCTCCTAGAAGTTTTATTCCCAAGTCATTTGGCACCTTCTCAACCACTGCCCACATATCTCTATCTCTAAGCTCCCAAACACAGGCGTTTTCACCGCATATGGCACCAACTAATGCTAGCCTTCCATTTCGGCTTGTAAGTGCGGCAAATTCAAGTCGGTCAGCCATTGGCACCTGCAATTCCCTGCAAATGTTTGAGTTAATCTCAAACCCCATCACCCTGAATGCCCTTGCAGAGGTTATCCAATACAAAACCCCATTAGAGTAGACACTGTCATTATGAGTCCAGACTGTTAGCCTCACGGAAAATTCCACTGGCAGTGATCCTACAATTTTCCATGAGTCGTTTCTTGAATCATATATTTCCAACTTTGATTCATAAGTGGTGCCACCTTGTGGTGCCTCTGACATCCCACCTGCTACATAGACTTCGAATTCTGGAAACTGAGAATCTTGGCTTGTGTTTTCTATTACAACCCCCACAGCCGGATTACTCCTAGTGATGTTCGGCCTTGGAAGATACCGGAATTGACTAGTGAATGGATTGCATATGATCAATTGTAGAACAACAGAACTTACGGATCTTAAAAGCAGAAGATTACCAACTGTGGCAATTGGTTTGACTAAATCAGGAAGAAATTCCAGTGAGAGCTTATGCCAATTATCAAAAATTGGATTGTGAGCAAAACATAGCTTGTGTGCTCGCAAAGGCAAGGCGATGAACCATGAGGGATGATACTGCGAAAGAATTGACTTGGTGCTCAAGGGGCGAGTATCGACGCACTCGTGCCAATGCCTGCAGGCCGATCTAGCTCGTGCCAAGGAGTCTGGGGAGAGGAAGGAGAAGATGTTGGCAAGAACATCAAGAGGAAGGCTACTCCACATGGTTGATGAAAAAGTGAAGCTTTTTCATCAAAAAGTTAGTAAATTGTATATATGCAGTACAGCTGATAATTGAAGTGCTATCGTTCAAGGCGAATTACTGAAATAATATATGTGCGTTGGAATGTGTGGCCATATCAACTATGATCTGTATGGTCTGACCCACATGGGAATCTCATTTGTTTACATGTTTCTTTGCTGGCTCAAGTATTTGATTGCTTTTTGATGCATAAATTAGAGAAGTTTGGTCCTTGGCAGAGCCCAAAGGGCAAATGGATGTCTTTGATAGGCACATCCTCAAAATATCTCTGCTACCTTCTTCTTCAATACTTCAAAACCAGGCCCCACCTCATACCTTTTGAGTAGTTTACTTCTCGTTTCTTTTGATTCTTTACATGTCAATACAGTCACTGCCTAACTCATCTTTATCAGTTAGGCTAGGCTGTTCTTATCGTATCTAAATGATATGTAACGGCCCAAGCCCACCGCTAACAGATATTGTCATTTTTTAGTTTTTTCTGTCGGACTTCCTTTCAAGATTTTTAAAACGTATCGGCTAGGGAGAGGATTCCACATCGAATGTTTCGTTCCCCTCTTCAACCGTGGTGGGATCCCACATGATATATCTTTTTTATAATAGATGAGAACCAAATTAGCACGAAACCACAACAAGTTTTGATGTTGATGTTGTGATTATCCGTCTATTATCTTTCTCTTGTCAATGTTTCGTCTGTTGATTGGTAATATTATTATATAGTCGCCACTTAAAGGCTTGTTTGACTGAATTTACTTCTAGAGCTGATTTCCTTTTATTATTATCCTTTTGTATTCTTATCTCCCAAAGAGAAAGAATGTATTATATATTTTATTTTTTGAATTTGCATAGGATTCTTTTGCAGGTTGGCTGAAAAGGTTTGTCCGTATATTCTAGCTGTGATTTGTAATTTTCCCTAAAATTCAAGAACTTATCTCCAGCACTGTACAGAACTTGATTTGTTAGTATGCTTTTGTCTTTTAAGCTGCAAAGTGCAATGGTGGGCGTGTTTTGAATGCAGTGAATCTAGTAGATCTGAACACAACTCAATTGGTTTTAATTAAACCACGAGGATGTTGGTCCTCTTCCTCAGTAGAAATCGAGAGAAACCATCCACGACAGAATTTTTACTTTTTCTCCTTCAGAGCAGAACGATCATACTAAGTTCGATAAGACTCGACCAGAAATAAAGTGAGCAAAAATGTAATGGGTTGCTCATAGCCATCAAATTTTGTGCACTTTTCAATGAATTATGCTCTATGCTCGATTTCTACTAGTACCTTACGTGCTTTGACAAAAACCAACAGGTAAAGAAATCCATATACCGAGTCTCAAATTTTGTGCACTTTTCAAGATGATTTCAATTTTGTCGTTGATATGAGGGTGATAAGTGGTGCTAATTCGATCTATATATATATATACATACATACACACATATACATATCAAAACTTGGATCGATATATTAAAGTCCAAAGCTAAATTGATACTAAAAGCATCTATTGATTTTCATTTAGTAACAATTATTGAAATGTAATATTAACAAATATATCAAATTGTATTAATCGACTTTTTTGAATGGAAAGAATTTAAAGACGGTTTGATACTATTTGAATTCTATTTTACATTTTTAGGTTCAATAAATCAATTAGATTTAGGTAAATATTAATTTTGACAAATTTATTTTTAATTACACATTTTCAAGTGTTCAGTATATTTTTATTTTAAAATTTAAAATTTAAATTGCATAATTACATTAAAAAAAATTTGATAAATATTGTATACGACGATAGTTCATTTGTTAAGAGTAAAATATGTATAATACAATATATAAATCACACGATATGCAAAATAATAATTGTAAAAAAAATGAAAAATAATAATTGTACAAAATTTATATTCATAAATTAATTATAATATTTAAAAGAGTAGAAATTCACCTTAATATTTAATTGATTTTTATGATATTATTAAACAAGTTCATGTTTAAAGGTTTAAATAATATTTGTTAGACTAACACGACTCTCTACAATATGATATGATATGATGTTGTCGTGTATAATCTCTTTGTTTTGGACTTTCCAAAAAGTTTATACCATGGAAAGTGTATTCCTTAATTATAAATACACGATTATTTCCTAAATTATTATACAATGGAGAGTGTATTCCTTCATTATAATCCCAAGATCTCTTAAATTCGAAAATACAACTAGAATGTTTTTGTTTTGAAAATTATGGGTTTAAGATCACCCACAAAAAACCTGATCCACGTTCCTTTTATCATCTCTTTCCCGGTGGAAAAAATGGTCGATCTACAGAGATCTTCAACAAAATTCGGATAAATACTGTCTGGAGCACGAAAGTATGTTGTAGAAGTGGACCAATTGATTAAATTTTTGCGAAATTGATGCTGTTCTGGTGAGAACAAAGATTCCTCCCACTTCCACTTCCTCCTCTTCTGAATGATTTCTTCTCCCAAATATCCTCAAATCAAGGATATTCTTTGTATTTCCTCTTTTTCTTACCACTGCTGTTCTTGATCTTTCTTCTTCTTTACTTTGATTGTTGAGAGAAACAGGGTGGGGTTTTGTTTTAGGGCTTGATCCTCCATTTTGAATGCCGGAGATGGGTTTTCCCCTTGTTTTGATTGCTGATATTGCAGGTAATTTCATTATTCAATCGACCCAATAATGAATTTTCTGTTCCTGTGATGGGAAATTGTTGACTGGGTTTCTCATTGTCGAAACCCAGATGATTTTGAGGAATGACAATGTCTTTCCAGCTTTTAAGTACTCAATCTTGTCTATCTGCTTATGTAAAGACCCGTAGAATTCAGCTTCGATGGAGGTTGAATCCTGTTCAGGCTATACCACCACCATCAACTCTTTTGCACACTGATGAAAGTGAATATCTTCCAGAATCTAAAAAGGGTTCTGGGTTCAAATCAGTATTGAAAACGAGTAAAGATTCAACTGGTATTTTGCTAAGTCAATCAAATACAGTGGGTATATTAGGAGGATCGTCTGTTAATTCTACTGTAAACTTCTTGGGAAAATTAGTTAAATGGAGTACCAAAGATGGAGAATCTGGTCTTCCTTTTGTTCTCTGCTCTGACCCAACTCTTGGTAATGAGCTTCAAGTGTTTGATAAAAGTTCTCACCAAGTTCTCAACTACAAGAGTGAGAATCTAGGGTTGGATTCTGGACCATTAGTAGAGAGTTTGAAGAGTAAGAGAGATCTTCTCGAGAAGTCGGGTGCTCGTTGCATCGTTATGCCTTGTCACATATCTCATTTATGGTATGAAGATGTTTCAAAAGGGTGTCCTGTTACCTTCCTTCATATGGCTGATTGTGTTGCTAGAGAGCTCAAGGAAGCTAAGTTGAAGCCACTTGAAGCTGGGAGCCCATTACGGATTGGTGTTCTTGCAACCAATGCAATTTTAAGTGCAGGGTATTATCAGGAGAAACTGCAGAATGAAGTAGGCATCTCTTCATTGTTTTTGAACTTCATGGATCTTGAAGCTCTTATTCCTGTCTTCAAGCGATTTTTAACCGTAACGGAACAATACTTGTGTATATATGCAGGGATTTGAGGTGGTTCTTCCAGACAAAGCAACTATGGAACATACTGTAATTCCTGCAATTGAGGCTCTAAACAGAAAGGACATTGAAGGGGCAAGGAATTTACTACGAATTGCTCTTCAAGTTCTTCTGGTGAGGGCTGTCAACTCTGTCATCCTTGCCTCTGATGATATAAAGGATCTCTTGCCCCTTGATGATCCCCTTCTTAAGAGATGCATTGACCCAATGGACGCATTAGCAAGGTCCACTATCAATTGGGCACAATGTGCGAAATAAGGTATTTCAAGATCTCAATTTGTTGTAAACCATTTGAACTCTGCTAAAAATAATATCAGGAAATATGCCTAAAATCTACTGCATGGTTTCAAATTTTTCGAGTTATGAATCTCGTACAAGATCAATGCTGTTAGAATTGCTTTCTCATCCAACATGATCTTTCTCTCATTTCATAACAAAAGGAAGACCATTGCTCAAATAGAATTAGAAATATGTGATGTGATGTACTTTCCCTATTTATCGTTTCAGCCTTCTGTTTACTTCTCATTTAGATGGTAGTATTCATTCATGAACCCTTGGTTGTGACCCTATCTACAGTTGAAAAGGATACTTTGGCTCCTCCATTTTTCTGAAAGAAAATTTAGATGTAAGTTTAAATTGTAATCAAAGTTTGTTTTGAAATCATAACTCATGAAATGCATAGTTGTTCACTTCATCCTCTCAGCATCTCATTAGAATCTCTTGGAATATTAGAATCTCTTGGAATAACATGGACGGAGTGTAACAGCCCGAGCCTACCAGTAGCAGATATTATCTTCTTTGGGCTTTCCCTTTCGGATCTCCCCACAATGCTAGGGAGATGTTTCCACACCATTATAAAGAATGTTTCGTTCCCCTCTCCAATCGATGTGTGATCTTACAATCCACCCCCTTTGGAGCCTAGCGTCCTCGCTGGCACTCGTTCCCACTCCAATCGATGTTGTTCCCCTCTCTAATCGATGTGGAATCTCACATTGAGATTGACATATACCATTAAGAATAGTTGGTTGAGAATAATAGTACTCAAAAGTTCAAAAGTGTGCAGTTGGGAATGTTTTCCAGTAAAATGGAGGAAGGATGCAACAATGACGGCTAGAACTGCAAAATTGGAGTCATCTCTTGTTTCTTTTTTTTTTTCCTGATATCTGTGAGTGTCTTGAACTTGTCTCAGCACCTCTCGACTAATCTCATGAGACAACCCGCATGACCCTACGATATTTAAGTGCTAAGGAAATTTGTAAAGCAAAAAATCCTAGGTAGGTCCACCATGAATTGAACCCATTCCTTCAAAAAGCTGTTTGTTATACCTGAGACCATTAGGCCAATCTATGATGGTTTAATTTTGATCATCTTTGATTTTTGTTCTGTGTTCTTTCTGAGCAATATCATATGCACTATGCTGTGTTTATAGCAACATTTTAGTAGATGGATACAGTCTAATGCCACGAAGAAGCTACATAGCTAGTTTTTTAGAGGATGTTTGCCTTGTGATTCTAATTAATATAGGTTTGGAAAGTGTTAAGCTGGTGTAACCTGTGGTTGGGTTCTGCAGAAAAATGAGTTACAAAACTAAAGTTTGTATAATCCATGTTAGGTTGGTCTGTGTTTTGTGGGTAAAATTTAACACAGTTACACATTGAGATAAACAAACCTACATACCAAATATGAGCTTTACTTAGATTTTTGGGTTCTTCTGAAAAGTTGTCTCCATTTTCCTTCACTTCACATGATGGTTGTTGTTTGTAGGCGAAGGATGGGCTTTCTGAATCATTGAACTGGTTTAGGCCATTGGGTTTGCTCCTGCGTTCCTTCCACAGGGTTGAGCTAGACGTGTTGTGATCTTGGTTTAAGGCGTTGGGGAGAATTTGGAAGACTTTATGGAAATGATCTCGACCCAAATACTTGAATTCAGGAGCTCCAACTTTGTTTCATCCACTACGCTATATTTGTTCGTACCTTATTTTAATTGTATATCCCAGGTAAACTTTATATTATTTATGTTTGAGGCTGCTGTTTCAATAAAAATAAATTTAAATTTTTTATTATTTTTTAAATTATTGTGAAAGTAAACCAGGATTCTGAGATCCCACGGGATCTCTTGGACAGGGAAGCGAAGTATTCTTTATAAAAATATAGAAACCTCTCCCTGGTAGACGCGCAATAAAACTGTAAGGTTAACGGCGATATGTAACAGACAAAAGCGGATAATGTATTCTAGCGGTGGGTTTGGGTTGTTACAAATGAACGATGTGCTAGCGAGGACGCTGGCCCTCAAAGAGGGTGGATTGTGAGATCTCATATTGGTTGGAGAAGCGAATGAAATATTTTTATAAGGGTATGGAAACCTCTCCTTCGTAGACTCGTTTTAAAATATCTGTCATTGAGTTTGAGCCTATTTTATTATTATTATTTAAGGATTGTTTATAAAATGTTGATCAAATCATATGAATTATGGATGAAGTTTTAAATCATTGGAGTGAAATTATTTTTTAATTTCTCTAAATGATCGGGATCAAATTTGTAATTTAATCTAAAAACTTATATTAAATGCCATCTAGGAAAACTGAAATTTAGGTTCGATGGTAGGTTGACATTTTTTTGGTCGGTCAACTCAAAAAAGATTAAAATATTTAATGTATGTAACTGATTTTAGTGATACATTGTAACATGTAAATGTTTGATATTTGAACTTCACGAAATTTGTTTGATATTTGAACTTCACGAGATTTTTATTAATGTAACGTGTATGATGGATAAGTAAGCTTTGCTTTTTTTAAAATAATTATAAATGAAAAAATAACCTTTTCGGATCGTAACTACTTTAAAATTTTGAATCAGTTAAAAAATAAAAATTAAACTCAATCCAAACTAATCAAACAAAAGCTTTAAAACGAAGGGTTTTAAAAAAATGGTTGGTAAAAGAATAGTGTTTGGGACCCCAACAAATTAAAAGGGCTACCTTTATGTAAAGTAGCTAATTTAATTAGTTGGACAAATTATTACAAAATATGATAAAAAAAAAATTAAAGTATAATATATAATTAAAGATGAATGGATTAAGAGATATAATAACAAACATTGATTTTTGGAGATTATCTCAAATTTTCATCACAGAAATTAACAACAAAAAAAAAAGGCTACAAAAACAAAATCAAAATCAAAATCAAAGAGACAAAAAAAGAAACAAAGATAGTGCAGTTTATGAATGAAGTCTCTTTGAAATTTTCTCACTTGGAACCCTAAACCCTGCAAACAAACACATGTACCCAAATTAAGATGTTAATTTTATGATTGTGATACACCCAACAATTCCTTTTTACTTACGTGCACTCGAACATGGCTAGTTTTTGTTAGTACGAGTCTCTTGGAGCATTGCATCTGAAGCACTCCATCCTACTTGCAAAGTTATGTTCGTTACATCCCGACCTGCAATTTCATCATTCATCATTATTTTTTTTTACTATAGTAGGTAAATTAAAATAGTGGATGTTGAGGATTTTTGGGAGTGAGTTTTACGTTTGCTACTTTAGGGAATGGTCTAAAAGAATACATCTCCATTGATATAAAGCCTTTTGGAGGAGTCCAAAGCAAACTCAGGAGGGCTTATGCTCAAAATAGACCATATATATTTTTTAAATATTTAAAATTGAAAATATATTTAAAATAAAAAAAAGAAATAAAGACCTGGCACAAATCCAGTCACCGGACTTCCAAGCGGAGGCAGGGGAACGGGCGGGAGTAGCGAAAGCAAAAGGGGATATTCCGCGAGGAGTTGGACGAGGAAGGTCGAAGTCGAAGGCCGACATGTCGTCTTTGAAGGCCCCACATTTGAAGCAGCTTGACCGGCTTGCGAAATTGTGGGCTCCACAGTTGCCTACGCTGCAGTACCAGTCCCCGGGCCTGACGTCCGACCCGCCGAACCCGAATCCAGACCCAGCTCTTGCGCCGCCGCCGCCGGTCTTGGGATCGCCGCAGCGCTGGCAGATGTCCCTCCTCTGGAAGTTCAAGTGGTGGCAGGAGGTGCAGTTCCAGTCTCCGGGTCTGTTCATCTTCTGTGTCTGCAAATTTTATATTAAGATACTGGAAAATAAGAAATGGATCACAGAATACAGAGAGAACAAAAAGGATGGAGCACAAACCTTGAGAACAACAAAAATGGCTGATTTAAACAAACACAAGAGTGGGGATGGAATAGCTAAAGAGGGGAAGGGAACTCAGGTTTATATACACCCAAATCCCACTCAAAAACTCACCTTTTTTCCCTTTCATTCTTTTCATATATATATATATATATATAAAAGATATTACGTACGAGAAGGCGGTAATGTTTACGATGTGTATACGGGTTGTGTTGGAAATTTTATTGAATTAGTCGGGTGGGTGACTCTAAATAATCTGTATAGAATTCATGATTCAACTCAAACTCTCTATTTTTTAAAAATTTCTAGATATTGTAATTAAAATTTTATAAAATACAAATATAAATATTTATAGAGCACAATGAACTACTAAACGTAGTTAAGTTAAATATTTTTAATTTTTGTAACAATCATAAAATTATGGTTTGTAACTCAATTTTTAAGCACCTTACCAAAATAAGGTGAAATCATATGAATTTTTCTATTTTCCACCAAAGGAAATCTAACACAATCTAGCCTTTTATGATTTGGTTGGGTAGTTTGAGTTGGTCAAGTTTTCACGTCATATGAATAATTCTACTCTACGGGGTGCTTATTCCTACTCCTTTTCTTTTCTTTTTGTTTCGGGCTCGAATTGACATTTGGAATGTCCACGACTTACAACAAATGTTATGTTTACCTGATATTTTGAAAAAATTAAACCGGTGAAAATTCAATGACCAATATTAAAAAATAATTATACAATATAATAAACAATTATGATTTATTTCAATCACAATTTGTATTCTTTTATAAAAGCAAACCATTTTTTTATCTCACAAACTTTAGAAAAATTTGAATATCCTCCCCTAATGTACATTTATTTAGCTAATATGTTTAAAAAGTGAACAATGTCGAAGCCTTTTCAAATATTCAAAATTGTTCTGATTCTCATATGACCTCTCAAATTTTATATAAAGCATATCAACAATAAATTATTAGACGGAAGACTTAAATTGATAAACTAAGATAGATTTCGTCTTTTCTATATAATTATAGAGATATTAGTATAACATTTAGTACATAAATGTTGAGAGTGGAGTAAGGTTAATTGGAGAGAAATTAGGGGGGGAAACAGTGAAATTCAAAAGAGGAAAAAAAGGGGAAAGGATTTAATTACAATTCAAAAGGAAAAATGTGAGTTTCAATAAAGGGTTGTGATGAATAACCAAGCCTTGGATGTTTCATTTTGACCATCTTTTCTCTTTTCTCTCTTCTTTTTTCTCTCTTCTTTTTCTTTTCTCTCTTCACCCACATCTCTCTCTCTCCCTCTCTCCCTCTCTCCCTCTCTCCCTCTCTCCCTTCCTAGTTCTTTCTTAACCCACAGCTATGGTATTCTCTCTTTTTCACCCACACCCATCAAATCTCTTTCCCTCTTCACCCACATCCATAAAATGGCTCTCTCACTTCCTCTCTCTCTCTCTCACCAAAAGAGGAAATGTGTGTGTGTGTGTGTGTGTGTGAGAGAGAGAGAGAGAGAGAGAGAAAAGGAGGAGAAGTGGCATCCATTCTCTTGGGGAAGGGTAAAGGGGAAGAGGGTGAGAGAGGGCCAAAAACTGTAAAGAAGAGAAAGAGAAAAAGGAAAGTGAGGGTGATTCGATTCTCCTTGGGAATCACTTCCATGCATCACCACCACCAACTCACTATTTATATATCCTCCATAATCTCTCTCTCCCTCTCCCTTCCTTTCTTTTCTAACCCTCTTCTCTACTCTCAAGTTATTGGCCACTACTACGTCTATATCTATCTATCAAATACATCCATCAGAGGTACCCAATCCATAAGAGTGAGACAGACAGAGAATAATAACATATGTAGTTAAAAGACCTTTCATCTTTCGGAATCTTAGCCGCTTTTCCAAACAAACCTATGACACTAAAATTTTCATCTTTTCTTTACCTCCTTTATCTTAAAGTCTTTCTTATTTCTTTTACTTTACAGTTGTGTTCTTTTCCTTTTCATCTTCCTTGTTTTTATCTCACATGCCTAATCATCCAAAAACCCTTCCTTCTTTTCTAACATTCATCTTCAGAAAAACTACGTGTTCATTGTGATGCACATTTAATCCCTATTCTTTACACTATAGGGAAAGCAAAAAAAGAGACCACTTTCATGAATTTTCTTGCATTGCTGCTGAAACTTCATTTTGGTCATCAGAAAGCATACACATCTAGACTGCTGTTAATTTGCAACTTATCCATACTGATATAAGTGGATTCAACAGCATGCTTCTACTACCCGATCAAAACCCATTTTTAGACGGTATCTAATATCATGAAGATGAAATGTTGGTACCTTGAATGAATGCCATTTGACCTCTCTTCTATACTTCAGATCGTTTTTATGCACACAAAAGCACCCGAATGCTATAATACGGGCTTTCGGGAATTCGGAAAACAAGTCGTTGGTGCAAAAATCATCACAACCCCTTTCTACTCTGGTGAATGGAGCTTCCTGCACTTCGTGCACCAACAGATGCAGTTGAAGGATATAAGTCCCTGGGATTTGTCGAAGCACTTGCTCGAGATCCATGAACTTGGTGAGGTGATCCTGGGACTGACTCGTTTGCTTTTGCAGCCTCAACTTCCAAATTCCTGGCTTCCTCAGCCAGCAAAGCTAACTATTTTAAACAAGTATCATCAGCCTTCAAGAACATATTAGAACTATCTAATACTCTTTTGTCAAATCATGAAGTAACATTTTGAATTCATCGGAGCAAATAGATCAAAAAACTAATGCGCAGAAAATGTCCCCTTTGAGTCCATGTCATAAAATCCGTGAAATCTATCTATGCAGATGGGAGTTTTTGGAATCAATTCATACCCGAATTTCATTCTCTTTTGCACGGTCCTGAAGTGCACTTATGACAGGACTAACACTGCAAGCAATGAAAAGGGAAGTAAGAACAATTCCAATCAATGGGCATTTTAGGCAAACGGAGAACAAAAGATCCCAAATTAATGGTTGAGGCAGCATGTGAACCCAACCAATATTCAATCAACTTGCACATTGAAGCCTGATATGTTGATGTGTGATGTATGAATGTCAGCGGATGCACTTTCCCATCCCTATGGGAAAGAAAAAGCAATGAATAGAGTCAATAACAAATAGATTACAGAACCATTTTGTATAAATTAGGAAACTATGCTCCAATGGATTAACTAAATAGAGAACCATTTACTTCATATTATACAAGACGGCTTGGTTATAAGCTGATCTCTCCTCTTCAAACAGAACCTGCTGTAAATCTGTAAAAGACATTAATGGTGAATCAAGCTTTATGAGCGAGGCAGTTGGCATAACATGAAGAGGAATCTCCTTCCTTGAGAATGCGGCAGCACTGGAAGCAAAAGAAAACAATTTCACAAGATTTAGACTTCCTAGTCAGAGTCTGCCAGCTCCAGAAAAAAAATGACGATGAAGAACGATACTTCAGTAAAGAAGAACAAAATAACAAAGACAATTTCTACATCGGACTCCCTATTAATGCAGAGCTACATAACTTAACTGAGTTGAGAAATCATTACAAGATAAAACCATTATTTAGATAACAGTATGATAAGCAACCACCTAGAAATCTGCACTTCATAACCCATACCTCATTTCAATATTTGAGCGGTGCATTGCTTCTTGCATACTTTCAGACAAGTCCATTGGATCAATATCAGTAATTCCGCTGTTTGCATTCTTAGTAAGATAGCTTCCTCCGATTTTCCCTTTTCCTTGATAGTTGGTGTCAGCATTAGCAAAGAAATAACCCAACTCCGAAGATCGTCCAGTTCCCTGTAGACAAAGTCAAACAAGTCATACACACCAATCATGGGGAATTGTTCACTGCGCAGCACTTCAAAAGTTTAACAAAATTGAACTCGCAGAACCGAATAGTTATATAATATCTGTGGAGAACTTGCTTAGATGTCTCCTTGATGACAAACAGTAACCAAGTAACTTCAATTAATCAGTAGACAATTACTTCATGTGATGGCAGAGAAACATTCAACTAAAAAATGTCACATTACGATGGTGATATCATCCCATTTTTTTTCGTAGAGTTGGACCAACGTTTTCCAGATACAACAAGGTGCATGGTAATTGGAAGCTTCTGTACTATCTTGAAGGAGTTACATCTTATTCACAGAACATGAGTACGCTATATTATTTGCAAGAGCATCTCATCCGTGATCCAAGAGTGTAAAACAAAAGTTTTAGCAAAACACAGTTGCAGAATTAGTTTACCAATTGGCATGAAAACGAATCGGTAGAGATTGATTGAAGAGATTTGTCTACAGACGTGAATACAAAATTCTGGGATGTCCAGCTTTACCCCCAATCAGAGCAGAGAAAAGATAGAAAGGGAGAATTCAACCAAGTACGTGCCTGAATATGAGACTCAAGAGTATAGTAAGTTATTGTTATTCTGTGTAAGTTTTCAAACTTTAAACCAGGGCACAACTCATAAAGTACCCAATTAAAGTTTTCAAAATGTCTTAAGAGTCAAATGTGTTTCCCCATAAACAAACAATGCTATCTACAATATCATGTGTGACAGAAAATTGACGCTTTGGCAAAGCCTTCTGCTCATCATTCAACTTAAGCAGGCTATATGAATGACAACATCCAGATTCAGGTATCTTTGTAATGAATATATGTTGTACTTGTACCTTAAGAGTTCCAGCAATCATTGAATCACCAGTATCCTGTTCAGGACTCTCCCTTGGTCCATAGCCCACATTTGCTGATAAGTTATCAGAGGAACTCAATGAAGATTCAACATCAATCACTGAATTTCGATATACAGGAGACAAAGAAATAGGTCTTGATTGGTGATTTTGCTTCCCATCCGAGGACTGAAAAGCAATAACTTGAATTCTTCCAACCTGATATTTCCCAACTAAATATGTTTAGCAAACATGCAAAAGATAATTCTCCAAAGCAATACAACTATTCAAACCTTATTTGCATCTTCACTAAAGCAGGAAAATATCAGCCCAATAAACCCAGAATCAAGGAGCTGATATGTCCCCTGAGTTCGAACATCTGCAAGTAAGATTTTCATGATTGAAAATTTCTTTTCTTTGATTGAGAAGAGCAAAAAAAAAAAAAAAAAAAAAAAAAAAAACATCTTCTAATACATAAAATTAAGGAAACTCCTAAGCCAAAGTTGTAGCAAAGACATAATGTACAAGATTGGGGGCAATGGACCCAAACTCTGACATGAAAGGTCGATTATAATCTCATATAACATAGAGATATCCGCCAACTCTTATGAAATGTTAGTTTTCAGAAGGAATATGAAGAGGAAAAAGAAACTGCACTGACGAAATTTTCAGGTCTACTTTCTTAATTATTACAATCATCAGAACAGACAAGTTCAAGACAAAATTTTCAGTGCTCTACTCTAAGCACACTAGCACCAAAAGAAAGCCTGAAACATAGGGGAAAGCAGATGGAGATGGAAAACCAACTCATCGAAGATGGGTTACAATTAGACATCATAGACAAGTCAATACTAACCAACATGTGAAGGAAGCACTGTAATATGAGGATGTGAATGGTACCACCCAATAACTCTTGTTGTTCTCCCAGTCATTGCTGTCATTCTGTTCTATAAAATTAAGTATATAACAATATTGAAAAAAATAAAAATAACTTCATATAGATTTAATCACTAGTGGAAGAACAAATAACCAAAAGATTCATTCGGGTTTTGATTTTTTTTTTTTTTTAAAAAAACAAGTAACAAACTACTCATCTTCAAATTTGCATAATTAACCTACTTACGTTAAACTGCTTCACAAAGCTAGCAATGGTTTTAAAAATCAGTTTCTACCATTTTCTACTCTCAAAAGTAGAGAACATAATGAAATTCGATCACTCATAAAATTTAACAAGGCCCCATAGAACAACCTCCTCTATTCCTCTTATAACCAGTAAAAAACTATATTAAACTAGGAAACTGATTGTTCAATAGAACTTTTTTCTTTCTTATTTTCCACTTTGCTAGATCCCCAATAATTTAAACATATACCATACAAAAACATTCTTCATCATAGTACTTGTTTTTCTCAAAGTTTGTACCCACCCTAAGGTGGCCTAGACTCTAGAGACATCAAAGGTTTTCTTTATTAAACTCGCCCGAAAATTTGAATAGATGATCTTTAGATAGGTGTCACTCAGAGACCGCAGGCCTAAGCCAATGGGGCCACTCCCTAGGGCTCATAGTATAAATATTTTCATTTGTCAAGACCATTGACAAATAATGGATTTAAATGATAAAGTAAAAGAAGATGCACTACAGAGGATGCATCAACATGAACTGAGAAGAATAGGACAATGTCTAGAAGATGAAGAATTTCATAAAGATAAAAGAAGCGAAGGATATCTCAGCCTGGGCAGATGCAGCAGCCAATTGTTCAGGATGAGTCTCCACGCGGTCCTTCCTTCTGTCAGACCGCGTCTGAGGCGATGCTCCCCAAATTAGTGCAGTTACACTACCATTTTCTGAATGCTGCAAAATTTCGTGGTCAGGAAGACGCAGAACCGAAATAACAACTACCTTATAAAAAGAAAAACATACCACCCTGAAAGAAAAGGCATGAAAATGGCTTAAAGCATAAAGAATCAGCCATGAAAAAACGAAAAAACAAAAAAACAAAAAAAACAAAAATTCTCAAACTCTAGAGAGAAATTGTAAAATGAATATCTCTATACTGTGTTAGCCAGTGAATCATAATTCATATAGACTGTCTAACAAGAGCAAGAACAGTACTTAACGTAACAAATTCACACGAACTCTTGTGAAAAAGAAACCAAGTCCATTTCTAACAAACATCATTTGGAGTCGGAAGACTCTACAGGTAGCACCACAAATACCATTCCTCACCCTGAATTTTACAAAATGACCAAGGAATCAATTAACTGAGCCAAAGGAGAACAAAAACAAGAGAAAATAAGCAAACCAACATAAAGCAACCAATCAAACCTATGTTCAAATAAACATCCAAGACAAGCAACCAAGCCAACAAATATACACCAAGAAAACCAAATTAAAGCAAAAGCCATAGCAGATTATGCAAAATGAAGGAGAATGGGCTCAAACAAACTCGGAAAACCTTTAAAATAGGGGATAGTAAATTGCAGAGTGGAAATCTAGAGAGTGACCTCAATATCGCCAAGGAGAAGTCCCATGATTTCTTCAGTCTCCGTGGACAATGCATGAGTGAGGCAAGTAAACCAGACATCTTCGGACATCTTAACGCCCGTCAGAGACATTTTTCGATCACCGTTTCTATGAATTCCAAACTCTCCGTAGAAAATGAATGAAGGAAAAGAGAGATTCCGAAGGATTTCCAACTTTCAACAAAGTCACTGCCGATGATTCGGACCTTGAGCAGCAGATCGAGCAGCAATACTATACGATCGTGCATATAATTGATGATATCTGATTGATGACTATGCGATTTGTACACGTATCCTTTTCTAAATATTCTTATATTTAAAAATATATATATATATATATATAAATGGTTGTATTTTAGGAAAAACAAGACCATTTGGTAAATTAATAAAAATATTACTAAACTTTCTATTTTCTTCAAAAAAAAATAAAAATAAAATAAAATAAAATAAATATCTAAATAATTTCGATAATATTTTTTAATTTTTAAACAACAATTTTTTTTTGTTAGTTTTGAATATAAATGATTATTATTTCATTTATATTATACTCTCCTTATTAAAAAAAATTCATGAAATTCTAACATTAGACACTTTAATCTTTATAAAAATAAAATTCAGAAAATTTATTACCACTTATATGAAAAAAAAATTATTATTTTTAAAAGTTTATAAATATTTTTTAAACCTAATAATATGTTTTAACTTCTCAAAAAAGTGTTAAAATATTTGTTTAAAGTTCAAAACATTTAAAAAAAAAAAATTCATAGTTTTTATAATGTGTTTTTTAATTTTAAAAATAATTTTAAGTTTAAATTTAATTAATTTAGTCGATTATTAATATAAAAATTTAGAGTTAAATATTCAAAAGGTTGAAGTATTTAAAATTAAAATTGTAACCGTTAGGACATCGCTCACAAATATTAATCTTTAAAACGCATGGAAAAGATTTCCACGTCCTTTCAAACGCGCTAGGAAAAAGTTTCCCCTTATAACGAAAAAATTTCCACCTCTCCAATCAACGTGGGATATCACAATTCACCTCGTTTCGAGTTACTCTCAATTTTAAAACGCGTCTACTACAGAGTTAAAGAAAAGTTTTATTTACGGTAAATAAATTGTAAATAAATGATGTAAAAAATAAAAAACTAAACACGAGAATAATTTAAATTAGACCATAATTATAGATATATATATATATATATATATATATATATATATATATATATATATATATATATATATATTTATTGTAGTTTATGGCGTGTAGAAACTAAATTGTTACGTCAGACTATATAATAAAAAAAATATAAAGACTAAATGTTTATAATGTGTAGATACTAAATTATTACTCTCATACCACCAAAAATTATATACAAAATTTGTGGTCAAACTTGTGGTAAACACATTTCTTTATTTGATTGGTCGGATAAAAGCAGCGTACAGTAATTTGATAGGAAGAGATACATGTGATTGTAAAATTTCACAAGCAAAAAAGATAAACAATTAATGTATAAAGGTATGAAACTAAACCCTTTTGCTAAGTCCCAACCATCCATCGGAACCGCCTGTATCTCTGTCTTCCACGTTTCCGGCGAAAATCCCCAACTATCCATCGGAACCGCGGAGCTCTTTCCGGCGAAAATTTCATCGACGGTGAGTGTTTTCACTTCTTTCGGCTCACAGCGACATACCGGTTTATTTTTATCTTCTTTCTTTTACTCTCTCAATTTCTGCATTTCTCGACCTAGCAGTGTGTTGATTCAGCTGTATCTGGTTTCTGGTAGTGCTATTCTAAGTTTTTCTGGATCTGTGTCATTGCCTTAACCTTTAATAATTTGTGCGATTAATTCGTGGCCGTTTCTATTTATTGGGTTTCGAATAATTGTATCACTAAACTTGTTGCTTTTTTTTTGTTTTTTTTTTTTTTTTTTTTTTTTTTTTGAGTTGGCTGTCCTCTTGTAATTCCTTCTATATGATGATGCTTAAGCCTAAAAAAATTTGTTTTTCTCAAGGAATTCATTCCTCATTTTTTTTCATTTTGTCATTGTACATTGATATATGTTACTGTTTGACTCCAATTTGCTGAGTCTTGAATTTGTTGTCTACTTCAGATAATCTACTTGGACATTGCTCGTTTAACAGAGTATTATAATTGGAACAATGGCGAAGTCATTATCAAGCTTGCTCTTCAAAGGCTTGGCAGGTCTTCCAGCTACTCGCACTAGCAGAATAGTACGGTTTGAGGAAATCACATTATCATATTTGTACTCTGAGTTCTATTGTCCTGTTTCGTAGGTTTTAGCTTTTGAATTGTTTAGTTGATCATAGGCGTGAGTTTGTGGAGATTTTTATTTCTCATTTTTATGCCATTTGAAAATCATGGAACCATGTTCAAGTATCCCTATGTTCCCTTTATCTCACACATCTATCCTGACTTTGAAGAAAGAGATCTGTAGGCTATCTATTTTTCTGGGGTTTAGAGATGTATGCTTAAGTATAATGCCTATTTTGTCATAGTATTTTCTATTACTCTTGATCACAACTTCATTTGGTTAGATTATAAATGTTGTTTTCTTTATTATGGTCACATTAGTTTTGTTGTATTTGAAGTTTCCACATTAGATGGGGAGGAGAACAAAACACCCTTTATAAGGGTGTGGAAATCTTCCTCTAGCAGACGCGTTTTAAATCCTGGAGGGGAACCCCGAAAGGAAAATCCAAAAGAGGTCAATGTCGGCTAGCGGTGTACTTGGGCGGTTACAAATGATATCAGAGCCAGACGTCAGACGATGTGCCAACCTTCTCGTTGTTCCCTAAAGGGGGTAGACACGAGGCGGTGTGCCAGCGAGGACGCTGGGCTCTGAAGAGGGGTGGATTGTGATGCCCTACATTGGTTGGAGAAGAGAACAAAACACCCTTTATAAGGGTGTGGAAATCTTCCTCTAGCAGACGGCTTTTAAAGCCCAAAAGGGAAAGCCCAAAGAGGTTAATGTCTGCTAGTGGTGTACTTGGGCTGTTACAAATGGTATCAAAGCTAGACACCGAACGATGTGTCGACCTTCTCGTTGTTATGAAAAACTGCTACTACCTATTTGATTCTCGCATTTTTCTCTAATTTACATTAATCTTGCATTTAAAAAACTCTTATGTACGTGTAAAAGTTAGGCATTTACACTTTTAAAATGCTTATAAAAAAATTTAGTGTTTAAATCGATACAATTGTTAGTTTAGGGTTTCAATTGATATAACCTCCAAATTAGGACAATTTGATATTTGCGCTAAATTTTTTATAAAAAATTTGATGACTGCCACCTAGTGTGAAATTATATGGTAGAGAGGACATACAAATCATCATGATCTTACTTGAACATGATATATAAGAACTTTAGACTTAATTTTGATGTACATCCTTGAGTTCTAAGACAACATACAAATTATAAAAGTTGACCGACAAAGCTTACTATGATATATTATGGTGCCTCATTTTGAACTGTTGATAGGTGGTGCCTGGGTTTAATTACCAGCATGGAATGAGATACTCAACGACTGTACCTAATGATCCTGATACTCATGATGATTTCAAACCTACTAATAAACTTGAGAATTCTAGCCTTTCTTTGAGGGATGTTGTTGAACAGGTATGTATGCTTTTGCGAAAGAACTGGCAACATTTATCTAGGAAGCACATTAGAAACTATGTGCTTTCCCTTTTCCTTTTTTTGATAAGAGAAAATTTCATGATTAAATGAAACACACAAAAGGGACAAAAAGTAGAAAGTTATTTGTTTAAGGGTGTGAGTTGGATGTGAGGAATTTAAAAACAAGTACTAAATTTCGTTCTGTATTGTTATTAGGATGTACAGCAAAATCCTGTGATGATTTATATGAAAGGGGTGCCGGATGCTCCTCAATGTGGATTTAGCTCTCTTGCTGTTAGAGTGTTGAATTTATATAGTAAGTGTTCATTGTGTGTGCGTGTGTTTGTTTTAACGAGTATGTTCTCTTTTGGTTAAGCTTATTTTACGACGTACCTATTTGTTCTCCTGGAACGGAAATTGATGGTCTAATAATCCTATGTTTTGAGCCAATATTGTGTCTGTTTTCTTTGTTTGTAATGTGTGTAAAGAGTACATTATCACTATATGGTCTCCATACTTCAAATTACTGGCACAGTGATCGCTTATGTATACCATTATCTTGCTTCTTTATAATCACATGAATTTTGTTTGTATGGTCTTCGGTTTTCTGCTCATTTCTGCTACAATAATATAGTTGAATCTGTATTGAATTTTCTAATAATATAGTTGAATGCTTGTTCCGTGTCCATCACGGGATATAAATCCTTGCAACCCCACTCTGTTGCTTGTCTTCTTTTTCCGTGATTCTCATATGTTTAAGTATTGCAGACGTACCTTTGAGTGCTAGAAATATCTTGGAAGATGCCGAGCTTAAAAATGCTGTGAAATCCTTTAGGTATGCACTCTTCGATACCAGACTTTCTCTCGAAATATTTGATTCGAAAGAGATTAAGTCATCTCGAAATATTTGATTTGAAAAAGATTAAGTCATGTCTGCGTAATATTTGATTTGAAAAGGATTAAGTCAAGGATTAAGTCATGCATAGGTAAATATAATCTACGAAACTGCGAATGACTTATTAAATCAACTACAGTTTGTATGATGATATCTGCTACTTGGAAAACGTTTCCAAACAGCAAATATAAACTCATGATATTGTGATATCGTTGGTCGAAGAAGTAAAATTGTTATGAATATGTTGTGATATGAGAAATTTTTGTATGCAGCAACTGGCCAACATTTCCCCAGATTTTCATCAAAGGAGAGTTTATTGGAGGATCTGATATCATACTCAATCTGCATCAGGTATCCAATTTACAACCTACACAGTTCACTTCTCTTAGGATCGTTCAAGGATTTCTGGGTTTATTATCACTTTTTTTTCCCAGAAAACACGACTCAACATTATTTTCAAGGTGCCCCCTGTTGACATTGTTCTTATTCGTGTGTAGACCGGAGAATTGAAGGAAAAGCTCAATGATATTGCAGCGAATCAGAAGACTGAATAAGTTCTCAGTCACCAAGTATGAAGAAAGAGATAT